TGGAGAGTTCCTGAGGGAGCTGGGAAGGGGCTGGAGAATTCCCGAGGGAGCTGGGAAGGGAATGGAGAGTTCCTGAGGAGCTGAGAGGGCTCAGCCTGGAGCAAAGGAGGCTCAGGGGAACCTTGTGGCTCTGCACAGCTCCTGCCAGGAGGGGACAGCCAGGGGGATTTGGGATCTGTTCCCAGGGAACAGGGACAGGAGGAGAGGGAACGGCCTCAGGGGAGCCCCAGAGTGGCAACTGGGGAAATTCCTCATGGGAAGGGCAGGGGTGGAGTCCCCATCCCTGGAGGGATTTCAAACCCTGTGGCTGTGGCACTTGTGGACATGGGCAGTGGGGGCAGTGCTGGGGGAGTGCTTGAACTCGCTGATCTGAGGGCTTTTCCAACCTGAATGATCTTATGATTCTATTCCATGATTATGGAGGATGAAGTAAAGAGTGCTGAGAACATGGAAAGAAGGAAGTTTTGGATGCTGTACTGTTATCTTCTTCATTTTGTTAGAAATAACATGAAGATATTTCCAAGCTCTTCCATATTTAGTAATGCCATTTGTGCTGCAGTAAAAAATTATTTAATAAGCAACAAGAGTAAATAAAATATTTGCAGCATAACTACAGATATTAATTACTGCAGGAGGCCATTTCCACTTAATGAAAACACTGAGAAAATACATATAGTCAAGGAAAACAATATACGACATATAAAATCACCTGCCTGAGTCTTGTACTGAGCAAACAGTGCTCCTGCTCAAGTTTTGCTGAGGAACAAGTCCAATTATTTGTATCAAACTAAAGCTACACCATCTCCATTTGATATTCAGATCCTAATAGGGGCACATGACGTTTGATGTGCCACCACAAAAACACTGAGCCGGCAGCTTTTGTTTCAGTTGTGAAATAACAGCCATTTCTCTAACAATCATTGTAAGGCTTCGGTGGGACACGTTGGATCATGGAACCACACACTGCTTTGGGCTGTGTGCAGCTGCAACCACCCTGCCATGGGCAGCTACAGCTCTCACTAGACTGGAGCAGACAGTGGACTCCCTTAGAAGGATGTTTCAAAGACAGATAATGAAGACAAGACAAACAGCAGGCAAGAAACAAAATGAGCTGTGCATGTGAAAACCAGGAGAGAAGTGCAGTAGAAGACACCTGAGATATACGGTAAATCCATGTAGCAAAGCTCAGGATGAGGTCACAGAATAGAATCATGGAATGGTTTGGCTTGGAGAGACCTTAAAAGGCCATCTCATCCAACCCCTCTGCTGTGAGCAGGAACATCTTCAGCCAGGTCAGACTGTTCAGAGCCCTGTCCAGCCTGGAGTGGAATGTTTCAGTGATGGGGTATCCACCCCTTCTCTGGGAACCCTACTCCAGTGTCTCACCACCCTCATCATAATTTTTTTTTCCCTGGTTTAGTCTTAATAGATCCTCTTTCAATTTAGTCATCACCCTTTGTTCTATCACTACAGGTCCCATTTAAATATCCATACCCATTTCCTTTGAACCCCTTCTAAGGATGTAGAGATCCCAATAAGGTCTCTCAAGTGCTCTCTAGGCTGAAGGTTGAAGGGAAGAAAAGGAAAGGGGAAGAATGGAAGAAGGAAAGAGAAAGAAAAAGTGGGAAGGATTATGGGGCAGTAATATGTGCTTATGAGGCCACAAATATTTTTACATCTTCTGTACATAAAGGTATGCTGGTGATTAACGTCTGTGATAGGTGTGCTGGCAGACAGACTTTTTGGAAGTTAAGGAAGCACAGATACTAATAAAAAATGTTCACTAGAAATTGTCAAAATAGCTCAAACTATGTGCTGAAAGACAGCTGCACAATCTGTAAATTAAAGAGCTGTGTTATGAAAAGCAGAGAGGAGGAAAGGGAAAACCCAGTTTACTTACAATTCATTAGCTTTGCAAAGGTTAGCAATGGTTGGAATATGATTTCTCCTCTGGCTCGGATTATAATCAGAACTTCACAGTTCTACCCAACCTTTATCCACTGACATTTTCTTAGCTTAAAATAACACATTCATGTGTACAAATTAAGGGTCATACACAGCCCCCTGCCTGGCTTGATGCTGAACTCCAAGAATCATACAGCCCCTCTAAATGTGAGGCACAGCCCTCTGATCACAGTAGCCAGCTCCTAAATGAAATGAAAACCAGTTCTGTGTCCTGCTCCACACTGCCTGGTGCTGTTTGGATGCATGAGCAGGGTCCTGCTTTTCCATGCCCCTGTGCACCCCACAGGCAACCCAGCCAGTGCCTGGGACAACAAAACTCAGCAGTGCTAGAGTTTGGCAAGCTCACAGCCCTCTGTGAGGCCTGCACTGACCTAATTCATCTCAAAAGTAAGGAGTGAAACTGAAAACCCCCCCAGCTCCCTCTCAGGTGCTCCACACAGCTCAAGGCACAGATGATGCCTCCAGCTGCACAGCAGGAACGCACAGCTAGGACGGGCTTACAACCAAGTGGGGGAAGTGGCTTCAGAATACAGAAATGTGCCACAGCATCTCCAGCTCAGAAAGATTCCCCAAATTCATAGTCACAGAATGGTTCGGATTAGAAGTGATCTTAAAAATCACCTTGTTCCAGCCCCCCTGCCATGGCCAGGGACACTTTCCACTATCCCAGGCTGCTCCAAGCCCCATCCAACCTGGCCTTGGACACTTCCAGGGATCCAGGGGCAGCCACAGCTGCTCTGGGCAACTCGTGCATTTCCTGCAGAACAGCAAAATGAAGCAACACCCTTAAACGTGCAAACAGAAAGCCTCTAAACATCTAATTTCCAGAACAACATCTCTAGGTCTCCATTACACCTAAGAAATTGATACATATCCCAGTTTTTGAGTTTGGTGTTAACAATACCAACTGGTTTTAGGTTTTCGCAAAGCATTTTCCTTGCCTCTATTTTAGGGAGTAAATTCTCAGTCAGCTGTTGCTTATTAACAGCACAGGGGGCTCTCAGGTATTAGTTATTTATGGTCTGCCTTGGATCCCATAGTAATTATGAAATGTGCCCTAGAGCATTAAAAATGCAAATGTTCAATAATTTCCCCTATACCCAGTGAGATGAACCACACTGTTCTAATCCACTGGTTAATTAGGGAGTTATAGTAACTGTAAAATAAAACACCTGGAGAGAACCTTAGGAGTAGTGAAAGAATCAAAGAATTTCTAGCACATTATAAATGCTTAACTAGAAAACACCAGTGAACTGTCTTCTCCCAAATCCACACATTCTTATTCCTCTGGCTTGTTAGGATGTTAAATAATATTGCAACATTATTTCTCAAGGAGATCCATGTGGTAACAGTGATGGAGAAAGGAAACTTGTAGCCTTTGGACATGTATGCTCAGCATGTGCTCACTGAGACAGTGCACTTATCTTCTGCTTTAACCTGGGACTAGAATCATGGAAGGATTTGGGTTGGAAGGAACCTTGAAGATCATCCAGTTCCACACCCCTGCCATGTCAGGGACACCTCCCACTGTCCCAGGCTGCTCCAAGCCTTGTCCAGCCTGGCCTGGGACACTGCCAGGGACCCAGGAGCAGCCACAGCTGCTCTGGGAATCTCTTCACATAATGAATCTGGAACAATCCTCATCCTGGGGAGTTTAAACCCTCATGTGCAGATGTAGTTGGGTCTGTAAAGCCCTAATAGACAGGTTTTGCAATGCAGATTTATTTTATACAATTAGAAAAGAACTAAGGAACCAACTGCTTCCCTCTTCATTTTCCTAATAAGCAATTACCCTAACACAAAGATTTTTAGGAAAGATGTTGACTGTGATTAATTCAGCAAAATAAATGACTAAGCCTGAGCCAGAAATAACCATCTACTCTGCTCCAATGGCAGGAAGGTGGTTGTTCAAACCCACTGTTTCCCAGGGACTGCACTAAAGCAGATTCTACTCTCTAAAAGGTCCATATGAAAAAAAAAATATATAAACCACTTGTCTGAAGGATCTGTCTGGAGCTTCTTGCTTTAATTAAATTTAGCATGAAATCTAAAGCAAGATATTATTCCCACTGCTCATTTTATACCCGGCATAATATGCCTGCTTTAGAACAGGCTGTAATACCTGGAGTAGTGTTTACTCCATGTATATCCCTCCTGTAGTACTCCTTATCGATCAGGTATTGGTTTACACTTCTGGAGTATTAGCAGTCCCTAAGACAGAGGCCAATACACTGGATTTTGAAGCTTTGAAGAGAGGGCCTGCTGTGCTTTGGAAGTGTTTCACCTCTTTGTTAGGTGCGTATTTTTGGAGGAATGAAGAGGAGACAAGTATTGAAATGGCTTCTGTTGGTTCCCACTCTGAGGGAACCATCAGTTCACCTGACACTAAGAAATGAACTTAGAGCTGGGTATGAAAACCAGAAGTATTTGGCTTCTATTGAACTGTAACGTATGTTTACATTTAACTTGACATACTTTCAGAGTTCAGTTTAAAATCAAAAGGTGGTACCTAAAGAGCTGGAAATTACTCCAGACTTAACTCTTTGCAAAATAACTCTCCTGGTTTATGGCTGGTGTCTGAGGAGGCGTGAAAACCTGCAGTAAGTCACACACATCTGTGGCAAGTCAGTGTTTTCTACACCCTCTCAAAAGGAACTTCTCCTTTCCCAAAAGCCTCTCCCAGCCCCATCCTCCCTTTCGCTGCATGCACTGGAATCATGCATTGGCAAAGATGCACAGAAAATTCATTTTCTTAGCGTAACTCCTAATTAAATATTTAAGTCAGAGTGAAGACTTCCATTTTCTAGGCTGTGCTGTAAGCAGAATGTTTAAGTTAAAAAAAAACAGACCAAGAAGAACCCAAACTCTGAAGCCCAGAACCTAAAGAAGTAACATTTAGCTGTCTTAAATGAAAAGTACCTGAAAAATGTCACAAAGAACTGCACCAGGTCCATAAAGTTGCTGTGCTGTGAGAATGCAATCTGCAAAAGAAAAGCAAATGCTTTCTGTTACTTACTGGAAAGAAAATTCGTATGTAAAAAGGATTAAAAATTACAATGAAAAGCACCTTTACTCAGATCAATTCATATTTTTCAACACTGTTTTTGAGAAAGAACAGAAATGTTCTGAGGGAAAAGAATAAACTATAACTTCATATTGTTTTGAAAACATATATCCCAGAAATTAAGCTGAACAAGTAACTCTGTCTCCCAGCCATGTTCCATGGAATATTCTTCAGTGCACATTGAAGAAAACACTACTTCAAAAACTTAGAACAGAGGTTTCAGAGAGCTGCAAATAATCTTTAATTAAAAGTGGAAATCTTTAATTATTGTTTACACAGCAACCCATAATTTAATATTTACATTTCAAACAATATCCAGACAACAAAATCTCTCCTTGAAGAAGCAACTTACACCAAGAGCTGCACAGAGGCACGAAGCACAGAAGATGATAGACACTGTGAAAACAGCTATGGCATTCATCTCGGCTCACTGCCCTGCAGTCCCACGGCAGAGCAGGGAAAAACACACCAGAACATTTGGGACAAAACCAGAGGGAAGAGGCCAGCAGGAAACTGGGAGGTGGTTAGAGGCAAAAGGGAAGATTAGGGAGCCTGGGTAAAAATAACAACGTGGAGGGGAGGCGAGCCAAGAGAAAAGCAACTTGTGCAATATTAGGGATCAGAAGTTCTTTCCAGGTACCTCCTATTTCCTCTGCCTATCAATCTCTCAGCACCACAACAGCATATTAACTCTTTCATGGAGTAACAGAGTTTCTTCAAAATTAAAGTGAAATCGGCACTGACAAAAGCTTGTCATGGATATTAAATCCACTTCTGGTGTAATTTGTTCTTTTTCTCCCTTAATAAGCAGTACTTATGGCAACATTAGCATAAACATAAATCCCTCCTCCCAGCTACAGCCACATCCCAGAATTCATGAATATGTGTAAAGTGAATCATTGCATGGGTTTCTGCTGCTCTGGAACATTTTCTATGATCATATTTGCTTTAACTATCCATTGTAACTTGGTACAGAAACTGCCCCAAATAGTTTTCTTATCAATGAATTGAAATATTTTGAAGTTGAAAGTTCCGTTGCCGTTCACAACCACTGTGTGGCTGGAAAGTGAACTCCAAACCTGCACGCCAGATGCTGCAACCTCAACAGCCCTGCCTACACAAGACAAGAAAACACAGAGTTATTTGTTGGTTTTTACTTCTGAAGTGCTTCCCAATAGTCTTCTGATTATTAAACAACAGCAGGATTTCACTTTTTGTGTAAAAAAATCAGTGCCTAGTAACTAAAGTGGTACAGTATTTGCATAAATGGATATTCATGGATATTCTGGAATAAATATAATATTTTGAAATGTATTTAAGGCAAAGATAATCCTTACTGAAATATCTCATCCCAAAATACAAACATGTAACACAGCCAGTATAAAACAAAAGCCAACTTTTCTTATTATTTCTGAGAATAACCATGATACTGAGTGACTATAAGAGATGCATTTCAAAATAAAGCCCTTGCTATGTAACAATTCTTTAGTAGAAAAAGAAAATTAAAAGCACAAAGGAATCACTGACAGGCCAGTCTCCTGTAGATGACTATCAGGATGAGTTTCTGTTATGGAAACCAAAACTTGCTCCCATTAGAAGAAAAAAATAAACTGTTATTTTTAAAATAAGAGAGATTCTATGAAATATTAATGAGACCAATACCAGAGAATGACTTCTTATTTTTTGGTAACAACTTCAGGAAACAAATAAAAACAAAAACAAACAAACAAAAAATAATGTAGGTTTATTTCACACAGAAGCCCTACAAATGTTTTACCAGTAGTGATTATTTTCTCTACCTGTTGGAGTTCTTCTCCTGTAAAGCCCAATTGAGGACCTGTACCTCACACATGGATTAAAAAAAAAAAACAAAAACCCAGGTTGTTTCTACAATTTACTCCTCACAAGCTGAAAATACTTTGTGCCATCAAACCTGACCAATCTGTGTCACAGGCAATTTGGTCTCATAATTGTTAATGGTTTGCTTATTTAGAGCTTAATTTCCACGAATATAATCTGTTCCTAGGACTTAATTAATTCAGTTACATTGAAAGTTTGGTTGGAAACAGCTGCTGAAAGTAGGCTGTTCATTCTGGATCCATGAAAAATATGGCACCAATTTCTTAGCAGGCTGAGGTTTTAATTAAGTTTAGCTGACAGTAGAAGATTCATTTATCCATTCTCAAAAAATGAATTCTGTACCAAAGGCTGAAGCAGTTTAACTGCAGGAAAGCTCTGTGAGGCTTGTGCTGGGGAAAGGCTCCCCGAGGTAGTGGGCAGAACCTGAGCTCAGCTGCACCATCAAATCCCCACTTTCACATCAAAGAACCCCAGAACTGTTGAGGTTTGGGCTCTGGCCCCATCCAGTCCAACCATCCCCCAGCACTGCCACCACTGTCCCATGTCCCCAGGTGCCACAGCCACATGGCTGTGAGATCCCTGCAGGGGGAGGATTGCACGGGGCAGTCCAGCCCAGCCCTGGGCAGCCAGGGCTGCACAGCCCATTCTGGGCAGAGATTTCCCCTAACATCCACCTTAAACCTCTCCCTGGGCAGCCAGGGCTGCACAGCCCATTCTGGGCAGAGATTTCCCCTAACATCCACCTTAAACCTCTCCCTGGGCAGCCAGGGCTGCACAGCCCATTCTGGGCAGAGATTTCCCCTAACATCCACCTTAAACCTCTCCCTGGGCACACCGGGAGCCACCTCAGGCACTGGGGAGCAGCACCCCCAGCTCCTCTCCCCTGGAGCAGCGCCCCGACCCCCCCCAGCCATGGAAGGAGGCTTCACACGCTGCTCTTAGGAATAACATGGCAAACTCCGATACTTATTTGTGCTAATTCCAAAGAACATTACAAAGCTTGTGTTTATCTTATCTGCAAAGGTACACTGGAGAGCACAGCTGCCCGTTCTGCTTTTCCTGTTGCCACATCATCTGACTTACTAAAATAATCCACCTGATTTCCAGAGAACCAGACATAGCTGGCTGCATGGACTAACAAAAATTTATAATGAAGAGCTTTACATTTTTTTTTTATTATTTGATTAGCATAAAATATGAAGCCAAGAAGAAAATTTGGCTTCCTCTAACTAGCCAACATCTAAAAATTGCACTGGTTTTGAAATCAGTACATGCAATTTTCAAAGGAGTTAATGGCAAATGACTTGGCCACAAAATAATATAAGCAAAGGAAAAGCATGTTTGAACCCAACAGACATTTCAGTAACAGTTGGTGTTTCAAACTCAAAATATTGCTGGAGCTAAACTACAGCCTGTGGCTGATAGAAATTTTGAAAATCCATTAGAACAATTACATACCAGGACTTGGTTTGCATAGGCACCAGAGTTTGTTCTTCAAGCGAAAAGAAAACTGAAAATAATTTTGACATAACATTTTTGTACTAAAGTAGGCCAACTAAGACCCAAGTTCACCTTAAACCTGTACATGCAACAATGCCTAAAATTATTTGAACCTCTCTTCTTGTGATCTACAAGTGTTCTGAACGCTTTAAAAACAAATTGAGTTTCACATACCACTAAGAAAAATCAGTTTACAAGCAAATAAGAAATTATGCAGAAATTTTTTGTTAAATCCAGCAAGAATTAAATTTGAGTAACTCCTCCCATTTAACTGTAATAAACAGATGTACCAGTAATCCAGCACAGCATAACACTTTCCACTTATGCTGGAAGTTACTGATATTTTATAGGAAGTCAAACTATTCACCACAATGGGATTAGGACAACAGGTTCTCCAAACTCAAATAATTTCTAATATTATACATAATATTAGTACCCCAGATCTAAAATTAACTAAAGAACTGGAAACGTAAGAGTTGGGGTTGTTGCAGAAGGCTCTTGGGAGACCTTCCAGGGCCTGAAAGGTCTTCAGGAGAGCTGGAGAGGGACTGGGGACAAGGGACAGAGGGACAGGAGCCAGGGAATGGCTCCCACTGCCAGAGGGCAGGGATGGACAGGATATTGGGAATTAGGAATTGTTTCCTGGCAGGGTGGGCAGGCCCTGGCACAGGTGCCCAGAGCAGCTGTGGCTGCCCCTGGACCCCTGGCAGTGCCCAAGGCCAGGCTGGACACTGGGACTGGGAGCAGCCTGGGACAGAGAGAGGTGTCCCTGCCCAGGGATGGGCTTTGAGGTCATTTCCCACCCACACTATTCTGGGATTCTGTGAATGTACTGAGGAATATTTCAAGTAGGGCAATTTCATACTATAATTTGGTACATTTTGGGTCTCTATACACTTGAGAAATGAACAACCACAGAAAATAGTGTTTCCACAACTTTTTTGCCTTGGTAACAACTCAGGATTATTGATGTATTATATTTGTATTTTTCTTCACCAACATATAAAGTGACTAAATTCCTACCAGTAGTGCCTTTTTTTTCATCCCCATTTCATATCAGGGATGAGAAAAAGAGAAACTGAAAATTATATTTTGCACAGGGACATGCTCCTAGAATAGAACTGTGTAAGAAAGAAAAATAAAATTCTAATTAACTTCTGAAACCAGAGTGACCCAACAGAGACAGCGTAATGTGAATCTGGCTCCCAGAGCTTGGGGCTTGCTGTGAATTCAGAAGATATCAAAAGGTCCAACTGCTACATCCATTAACCTCACCTGGCAGGTGGGAGAATGCTACAGAACTACTGTTTTGAAAGTCTACAGGACCACACAAAAATTTAAGAGGTTTTTGGGCTGCTTTCTGCTTTTTACTTCAATCTAGCCCCAGCACCGAAGTTAACGAACAAAAAGCAGCAGGAGAAAGTGGAAAGCTGGGAGTTCCACAGGCTTCCAATGAGAGAAAGTCACAAGCCAAACAAGCTGCAGGTGACATTCATGCACATCTTCCTCTTTTTGTTGCCCAAAACTCCACTGTCTTGTCTCTTTTTTCCTATGGTT